ATATTATATATATAATATAAAGTAAAATTAAAAAAACAGAAGAAAAAGAAAGATAAAAAATATACAAACAAAATCAATAAGATAAAAACCACAACACAATATTATTCACTGACTCACAAATAAATGATGACGCCAGTGTTCCCACAATCTTGAAGTGTATCTGACTGTACTCAGTGCAGGGTTTACTAAAATTGCAATAATGCCATAACATGACCCAGTTAGCCTACTCATACATTTGTACATAAGGTTTCTGAGCACAGAAGGACATGTGGGTACAGCAACATTTACAAACATGTGGCTAGCACTACTCTATATTTGAGTAGTAGCCTCATAGCGTCATTGTATGCTACGTAAAGTTTCTGCATGCTGCCTCTTTTGTATTGTCGCCACAAATGGGCAGTGTTCTAACATCAGTGTCGCGAAAAAAAATCACTTTAATCAGCTGACTGTGGCATATATATTTAAATGTCACTCTTTCAGCATTGTGTCATGTGTTTAAAGTCCTTACATCGCTGTGTTTGATTTAGCTCCCTCCATCTGTTTATGTGCTCATCCACCTCCATTTCACTCTTCTCTGTAGCTGTGTCTTCTCCACAGCACATCCATCCAGTACTATTCAGGTTCACTGGACTTCTATCAGTGGAGGATGGAACCGAGTACAGAGGGAGGAAATGCAGAGACTGACGTGGTCCTCTGAAATCATTCTGACTCTGAACACCACAAAAACAAAAGAGATAGTAACTGACTTAAGAGAAAAAAGAAAGCCCCACCTCTCTTCCTCTCTAAACACAGCCAGAGCTAATTTCTCCCTCAAACCATCTGTCTGGATGAAGAAATAACTTTAGCTTCTAAAGTCTTAACTTGTTGGAAAATAAGGTTGTATTTCAAGAGAGAAGTTTGGGTTTCCCCCTCTGTTCAGTGCAGTCAGTTTCTTGCAGCCAGTTCGTCACTGGAGGAACCGCTCCCTGAAGGACTTCCATACGAGCTTTTTTTAGCTGCTGTGTGCTGTAGTTACTGTCTGATAAAAGCATCTCCGGTGCTCACTGTTAAATAATTTATTTTAGCAGGGTTTTTTTTCTATTCACAGTTCTGTTTTCAGCTGATCACTTCGTGGCTCAGCAAATTCAAAATGAAGTTATTTTGGGAGCTCTTGTGTCTCCGTGAGGCTGATTGTGTTGACTTTAAGAAGCAGCTTAAGACACTGTTGTTCACACAAGGTTTTAGCTAAATATATTAATGTTTTATCAGTCATATTAACTTGTTTTATTGTATGCTTTTATGGTTTGTATTTGTTTTGTCTCTGCTCCTTGTGAAGCGCTTTGTGATGTTTATGTGTGAAAGGTGCTATAAAAATAAAATTTACTTACTTATTTTTAAATCTCTAACAAAGCATAGATGGTTTTGAAGTTATTTAGGCGTGTCTATAATGAAGTATATCAATAAATCAAGCAGCTCTACTTTTTTRCCACTGAATAGGTCTCTGGAGTTGTATATGCACAGGTTTTGTTCATATTACATTATTCAAACTGTTGATCACACTATAGTCACTGATGACTCTTTTCCTTGTTATATGTCATGACTTCTGTAAAGAAACCAGTCATCAGTAGTTCTAACGAAGGCATCTGATCAGTTCACACCAAAGCAGCCACCACTGATTGTTCCTCAAATCACATCTTGTGGGAAAGAGCAGCTGCTTTGTGGTGACATTTGGACAACAGCTGTTACATCACAAGTTTAGCTTTATGTCAGTGATTGTCGGCTGATGTGGCTCAAATCTGTACGTCAGCTTGTGTGTTAATATCTGGTTCTTTGCTAATATTTTCAATGTCGATGACATTTTGAGGTAAAGGTTGATAGTCGCGTGCTGTATTTGTAAGAACAGAACCACGACAAGTATGTTTATGGTTCTATGTATGCACCATAAAATGGATATTATTCCTCATTAAAATGAGTTTGTTTCTTTTGTTGTTCTGTTTATGACAAGGCCTTTGGACAAGCCCACTCGACCCACAGGAAGGTGGCAGCAGATGGAGAAAGCAGGGAGGAGTCGTTGATCCTGGAGTCTGCCAGTAAGGAGGCTCTCTACCAGCAGAAGGTCCTGGATTTGCAGAATGAGCTCCGTCAAGCCAAAGCATCCCTCTCCAGCGCACAAGCAGAAAATGATCGCCTATCTGCAGTTGCCCTTGAGATRAGAGAGGTAATTTATCTTTATTTTAACAAACATTCAATTCAAATCCTTTTTCTTTATTTCTGCTGATGTTTTTCCAAACAAAATCATTCAATAACTGGCTTAAAGGATGTCCTCTGAGTCTTAAAGCCTACATTTCTTCCTGCTCCTGTGGTATGTGAGACATGCCGAAGGGACTGTCTTAATTTCAGTCACATTGTGTAAATCACTGCAGTTATGTAGACTTCATTGCGTGGTCACAAACGACACTAAAATACATCCAGGGATTGTGACCGTAGATGTTTGTATCATTGGCAATAAAACTCTGTTGTTCTTCTGTTGTGTGTGCAGAACTCAGAGCTGGCAGAAATGCAGCGCTGTCAGCTGCGGGATGACATCAGAGAGTATAAAGTTCGGGAGGCTCGGCTGCTGCAGGACTACACGGAGTTGGAGGAGGAGAATATCTCCCTCCAGAAGCAAGTGTCTGTGCTGCGACAGAACCAGGTGAGACAAACGGTGTAAAAGATGAGCCCGTGCTGACTGTCATGGAAGCTGCTGAAATTGTGACCTCTTTGTCACATGTTTTGATCTGTTTTGTTCTGAAAATCTGTTTTTTTTCCATGCATCAGACCCAACCGAATAGAGTTTAATCTATGACTTATTTAGCCTTTTGTTTATGCGCACAGGTGGAATTTGAAGGTCTAAAACATGAGATCCGTCGTCTGGAGGAGGACTCTCAGTGCCTGCAGAGCCAGCTGGACGAAGCCATGCGTCTGAGAGAGATCGCAGAGCGACAGCTGACAGAGGCTTTAGAAACCATAAAGACTGAGCGCGAGCAGAAGGCCACYATGCGAAAGGAGCTCTCCCACTACATGACCATCGGTGGCTCCGTCTACAACAGCTCTTTTAGTATTTCCATCGACAACCCCAAGCTCCACGAGGATCCCTCCACCGTCCTTGAACCTGACAACGATGATCTGATCAGAGGCTTCGAGAACGGCTTAATCAAGACGAGTGACAGCGACGAAGACAACAGGACGTCACTGAACAAGAGAGGCGGGGCCTTCAAACCAGCGCCYAGCCTGGTGGATGACCTGCTGAGTGAGCTCAACATCTCAGAGATACAGAAACTTAAACAACAGCTTGCACAGGTGAGAAATACACAAAGTGCTTTAGTTTCTAAAAATAGGGCATTGCTCGAAACCTCGTTTTTGTACTTATTTGGTTAAAAAACAAAATATCAGCAAAGATGTTTGAGGGCGTTATTTATTAGATGCCATGATGTTAAGCAAATACCAAATTTATACGTGTATTGGAATTTCACAGCAAAAAACCATCCACAAACCAACTTTTTTCTAATGTAAAACCACAATATTTTCTTGTATATAAATGAAACATTGTGTTGCAGGGGATGAATCATCTATTCTCCCTCCAAGCTCCGTGACAGGCTGAAAAATCCTGAAGTCTCTCCTAAATCAGTGTAGCATTAGAGATGAGGATTCAATTATTTTTTGTTTTGTTTTTTAAGCTCAAATAATGAGGGTAGCATTGCACTCTAGATAAGTGGTTCCCAAAGTTGGGGTCGGGACCCTCAGTGGGGTCCTGAAACATCAAGATGGGGTCCTGGAAATATTTTCTGAATTAATTACACTAAACATGACAACTAACAACGTTTTTTGCCTTTGTTGTTACAAAATAATAAGATTAGTGTACTTAAAATGGACAAACGTCAGGGTTCCTGCAGATCCTTAAAAAGTCTTAAAAGGCATTGAATTTATCAATCAAAAAAAGGCCCTAATTAGCCTTAAAATGTCTTAAATCAGTCTTTCATAGGTCTTAAAAATGTTAACACATTGTACGTAAGATGACAAATTCGTCTAAAATATTACAATAATTGGTAACGTGAATTTGMTTTTTTAAATAATTGACCGAATGCCTCTTACAGCTCGTTTTGTTTTAAAATAAATATTTGGCTAAAATAGTTGCCAACTGGGTTTTTTCCATTTGTGTTTATTGTGAAGTTGGTCTTAAATTTCATTTTAAGTGGCATTAATTAGGTCTTAAAAAGCTTTAAATTTTACTTGCCTTAAGCTGTAGGGACCCTGAAAATAATGTTACTGTGCTCTTGTTTATTTGACCTGAAAACATGTTTATCAACTGACAACAGCTGGGGGTGCAGGTCTCTGCTGATTCTATTTTGTGAGTCAAAAGTTGAAATGTTTGGGAAGCGCTGATCACATTGTAAATGAATAAATACAATACTCCATTCTGATTGACCTGAGTAATTTCATTACTTAGTGATAAAAGGCAAGATCTTCCATTTAGACTTTCAGTTTCATTTTCTAATCTTACTTATAGGTTTAATATTTATCTGAAGTGAGTAATCAAAGCAATGGAATGCATTCAAAAGCTGAATTTACAACTGAGTGTACAGTTTTTTGGATTAAGTGCCCAGAAAGAAAATGTTGACCAGAATGTTTGTTATCGGACACATCTTTGGTGATCGTTGGGCTTTTCTTCTCTCCCTAAGGTTGAGCGTGAAAAAATGGCGCTGATCAACTCYTTGCAGGAGAGCCAGAAGCAGCTGGAACACGCCTACGGCACTGTGTCCGAGCAAAAAGAAACCGTCAACAGACTGACTGAAAACCTGAGCGCCATGAGGAAACTCCAGGCCAGCAAGGAGCGCCAGTCCGCACTCGACAGCGAAAAGGACCGGGACAGCCACGACGACGGAGACTACTACGAGCTGGACATCAACGGTCCTGAGATCCTGCAGTGCAAGTACACCGTGGCTGTCTCTGAAGCTGGGGAGCTGAGGCAGGAGCTGAAGACGCTGAGGGCGCAGTATGAGGAGTGTCGAACGCAGTACGAGGAGGAGCGAGCGCGGCTGGAGAGCGACGTCCAGGACTTGAGATCAAAGTTGTTCTCGCTTGAGAAGATAAGCCAAGCAGATAAACTGGAAGTCGGTCGTCTAGAGAAGGAGCTCCAGCTGGTTAGCCAGGCGGCGGGAGAATCGCTCGGAAGTCTCAACGTCGCCCAGGATGAACTCGTAGCTTTCAGTGAAGAGCTGGCCAATCTGTACAACCACGTGTGCATGTGCAACAACGAGACCCCTAATCGAGTCATGCTCGACTACTACAAGGAAGGCAAGGCCGCGGTGAGACGGGGGCAAGAAGGGAGGGAGAACCAGACCGTACTTCTCACCAGCGGGTTGATCGGTGGGAGRGAGGTTACAGCATCCCCCGCCACAGAGCACCGCCCAGAACCCATGAACATCTATAATCTGGTAGCCATCATCAGAGACCAGATCCGCCACCTGCAGCAGGCAGTGGACCGGACCACAGAGCTGTCCCGGCAGAGACTTGCCAGTCTGGAACTGAGCACGGTGGCGGACAAAGACAAAGAAGCCTGCATGGAGGAGATCCTCAAACTRAAGTCCCTGCTTAGCACCAAACGGGAACAAATCGCTACCCTTCGAGCTGTGCTCAAGGCCAACAAACAGGTCAGAGCTTTTTGATTCGTCAAATACCTMTGTTCATATGTGAAAGAGTCTCAGTTCATGATTGACAGAACAACAAAAACACAACAGAAGTCCAATAATTGTAATATTCATTTCCCTCAGACAGCAGAGGTTGCTCTGGCCAACCTGAAGAGTAAGTATGACASTGAGAAGGCCATGGTGACCGAGACCATGATGAAGCTCCGCAATGAGCTCAAGGCTCTGAAAGAGGACGCAGCTACCTTCTCCTCCCTTCGAGCTATGTTTGCTACAAGGTAACGTGTGACACCTGTGGACATAATGAGCCATGTTCCTGTTTATTCTAAACACCATGAAAATATTTATTTTTAGACTTTGTTCAGTCAAGTGGCTAAAATGAGCAGTTTTGCTACTAAAGAGAAACATTTGAACATCTCTGCTAATGATTTTTATCATTTTGTTACTATTTGTTTATATGGAAGACACAAAGCATTGTGGGAACATTTTGACATGACTGGAGCAGYGTGCTTATCCTGCCATCTGGACGATGCTGTTTGAAAAACAGAGGGATCAGTCTGAGGCAAACTACTCCACCTACTGGCAGTAATGTTTATCCTGCCTTCTTGGTCTGTCTTCTCCTCCTACTTCCTCTCCTCCTCTTAGATGCGATGAGTATGTGACCCAGCTGGACGACATGCAGAGGCAGCTGGCTGCTGCTGAGGACGAGAAGAAGACGCTGAATTCACTGCTGCGCATGGCAATTCAGCAGAAACTGGCTCTAACTCAACGCCTGGAGGATTTGGAGTTCGACCACGAACAGGCGCGACGCAGCAGTGCCACAGCAGTGGGAGGCAAGGGCAAAACAAAGGGCAAGGGAGCCTCTTCCAACCACCATGTGAGTCAGATTAACACTGAGACACAAAACATAAGATTTGTTTAGCTCAGGGTTTATATTCACTTAGTTTTACTACAGAAWACATAATTAATTAAGCTGAACATTYTCTTTATTTTGTGGATTGTACATCATTGTCTGCTGTTTTTTTTGGTAAGTGGAAACAAATATCTTCAGTAGATCTAGTATTGTTAAGCTCATTTTGCTTCAAGACATAAAATATAGCAGTAGCACAATAATACTTGTCAGGGTTTCCCCTAGGATTTTTTTTTTAGCTGTGGTGGTGGTGGGCTGCCCTTTTATTTTTTGCAGACCCGCGGCTGACTCCCGGTCATTCTTGCTGTATCAGAGTAATTATTATGACCCCCCGTGTGCGGGGGGTCYTAATAATTAGCGGGAGGCAAATTGTTTTCATACTTTTTTTTCCCAGTGATTTTTGGTCAGTCGTAGCACAAAAACGGCTGCACCGGTCAACATGAAATTTGGCAGGGTTGTAGTAGAGTCTGACCTACACTGCGCCAGCCAACGGTTTTACGATAGACCCCATATTTGAGGAGGGGGCTCCTTTCACAGAGGGGGTCTCTGGACATGCAAAAATGCTTATAACTCAGAAACTGTTCAACATAGGAGCTTCAAATTTCTTTTGTTGTTCAGCTCTGATGAATCTCTATCCATCAGGCCCACCAATCAGTGCCCCCCACCACCACCKCCACCATCCCCAACTCTGGTGTCAAAATCAAAGTGAAATCAAAAGTTTTCTGGTTTCAGCCTCTGACTTTGAACCTGTT